GTTTCGATACCCGTGGTGCGCAGAGCGCAGATAGCCCATTGTGTAGTTTTGTGTTTAATTACAAACAAACAATTTAAAAAATGCACCCCTAGTGGCACAGCGGTATGTCTGCGGACTTACAACGCTAGAATCCGGGTTTCGATACCCGTGGTGTGCAGAGCAAAGATAGCCCATTGTGTAGCTTTGTGCATAAAATCAAACAAACAAACAAACAATTTAAAAATATATATAAAAATTGCTTTTTTTGTAACATGAATTTTATTTTTAAATAATTTAAAGGAATAATAAAATGTTTAAATCATTCAAATATATATTAGATCAAACATAAAAAAATACTATTCATAATATGAGTCAATGAACTTTCAAGTTCTAACAAACGTCATTGTAAGTGAAAAAAAACACACGAGAAGACAGACAGATTGGGGTTGTATAGACAAAGCATTGTCCGTGTTAGTCATTTCTCTTGGGTTAAAACCCCACTCCCGAGTTTTTAGTTATTGTTTTTTTTCATTCACAAAAATGGTTTATAAAAATACGAGTCTTTTAAGCTTTAGATTCATAATTTTCCCGTGATATGTGTTATATAACAAAGTTATTTGTTTGTTTGTTTTGAATTTCGCGCAAAGCTACACGAGGGCTATCTGCGCTAGCCGTCCCTAATTTAGCAGTGTTAGACTAGAGGGAAGGCAGCTAGTCACCACCACCCACCGCCAACTGTTGGGCTACTTTTTTACCAACGAATAGTGGGATTGACCGTCACATTATAACGCCCCCACGGCTGAAAGGGCGAGCATCTTTGGTGTGACGGGGATTCGAACCCACGACCCTCAGATTGCGAGTCAAGTGCCCTAACCACCTGGCCATGCCGGCCCAACAAAGTAAGAACATTTTACTTGAATTACAACGTAAAATAAATGTTTTGTTACGTGATTGAACTATACATTATTCGAACATTATGTAACTGGTTTCCGCCACCAAATTATTTCTTTTTTGGGCGTAAAATTGCAAAAAAGAGGCTACTTGTGCGCGCAGTACCCACTACAGGAGTCGAAGCCAAAATTTTACAGTTACAAATCCTCAAGCTTACCGCCGAGCTATCTGAGGGTGATGAAATTACATTGCTTAAAAATATTTTCGACAACGAATCAGATTGTTCGTTGCTCAAATACTGGATAAACACAACTTTGTGTGTTAACCAAACTCTCAAAATAAAAATAATAATAAAAACAAACTTCAAAATCAAACCTATTTGTGCAACACTGTGCGTAACAATCAATACACATTTTTTACTAAAAATTCTTGTTCCAAATATCAAGAAATTATTTACTTTCTTGGTAAATAAGACGAGATTACAACAAGATAAAAACTAGCTCAAGAACGACTTTTCAGTCCTAACAAAAGAGTGAAAACTAACCATCTGGTGATGTAAAACGGACTCACATAGACATAACCATTAAAATAGTTTTTAAAATTTTGTATATAACAGTGAAATAGAAGTACGAAATGATTTTATTATCTTTTATAAATCCAGTACGTGCCTTGAAACAAACATTATTTCTAAACCTAGTTGTCCATACGAACGTCAGGCAACTTTTAATGTATATAAAATAAAGTAAAAAAAAAATAGAGGTTAAAACTAGTTTGTTTATAGTTAAGCACAAAGCTACACAATGGGTTATCCGTGCTCTTCCCACCACGGGTATCGGAACCCAGATTCTAGCGTTGTAAGTCCGCAGACTAGAAAGATAAATAAAACCAGAGTCTAAAATTAGAAATAACTATACATGGTATAGAACCAATAAGTAGAGAAACAAATATAATGAAACACAGACGAACTTAGAGTGAAATAAAGACAGGAAAATAGATCCATGATTGGCTGGTACCTCGGGTTCTTAGCATTCGTCTATAAAGACAATTTCAACAGAAAAAGTAAGTTGTTTTATAGGTGTGTGTGTTTTATCTAGAGTATCTTCTTTTGTCTGTTTAATTTCAAAACAACACGAAATGTGTCATATTAGTCTCTGAAGCTTCGTCGTCGTTTCTGTCAAAGTTCGCTGGTCAAGTGAAAGAAATGCCGCTTCGAAACGGGCAGAACGAACGTCTATAATTGGAATCCCTATATCCTGTCGTTTGAGGCCTGTGATTTTCACGATTTTGATAACTCGACTTCTGGTTCGTTCATATATAAGGATCGTTTGATCATTAGCTTTTATTTATGTCATTCTCTAGCTTCGAAAAAAATGATCACCAAAACAGACCCTCATCCCAGTGGTTTGTTTTGTTTTTCTGTTTTGAATTTTGCGCAAAACTACTAGAGGATATATTGATATAGATTAGAGAGAAGACAGCTAATCAATGCTACCCACCGCCAACTCTTGGACTACTCTTTTACCAACGAATAGTGGGATTGACTGTCATATTATAACGCTCACTCGTTTGAAAGGGCGAGCGTATTTGGTAACGGGGATTCCAAGTTGCAACCAACAGATTGCGAGGCGAGCGCCCTAACCACCAGGCCATGCGAGGCCACCACTTCCCTCCCTCAGTTGGTCAGCGGTAAGTCAGTAAGCTTATAACGCTAAAATCAGGATTCGATACCCGCAGTGTGCAGAGCACAGATAATCCATTTTGTAACTTTGCGCTTAACAACTAATCCCAATTCAAAAATCTGACAATTCGCTCCCAACAATGATTAGCATGCTATAATTAAAGGTTTCATTTGCTCCCAACAATGATTAGCATGCTATAATTAAAAGTTTCATTCGTTGCAATAATTGGAATAAAAAAGTATTGTTATACAGAAAATTACTTACATTTTTAACCCAAGTATAAATATCTGTAAATATTTACATCAGTGTTAGTACTTGTAAATGTTTGCATCAATGTCCGTACTTGTAAACTTCGACATCAATGTCAACATCTGTAAATATTTACATCAGTGTTAGTACTTGTTAATGTCTGTATAAATGTCCGTACTTGTAAATGTCTATATAAATGTCCGTACTTGTAAATGTCTGTATCTATGTCAGTACTTATAAACGTCTACATCAATGTCAGTACTTGTTAATGTCTCTATCAATGTCAGTACTTGTTAATGTCTCTTTCAATGTCCGTACGTGAATATTGATACAGATATATATTTCTTCAGTAAGATCACATTCACTATAAAAATCAAAGTAATTAAATAAGCTAATTGAACAAGAACTTTGTGTATTTAACTTCTAAACATTGATATGTTTTTTATGATCCTGTAAGAACTAAAGAGGGTAGAATTAAATGGTTCATGAAATAAATAATTTCAAAAAGTCTATAAGTTTATAAGTTTAAAATTAAACTGAACGTCTTAATAATCGTTGTTAAGCTGCGGCAATATGATCCTCCTGTAATAAGGGGTGCCATCGTGTTGCTGTAAACATTCAAAATGTTGTAAATTGTGCTAAGTAAGTTTTATGAAGAGTAAATTACTCATATATTATGAATACGTTGTTACTTTCGTGATTATCTCAACCACTTTGCTTCTGTCAATCTACAACTTTGATGATAGTGTGTTCTTAATACGACCTTGCAACTTGAAAGATAACAAGCTCTCAATACCAACCTATAACTGAAAGTTATATGTTCTTAATATGAACATACAATTATGAAGATAATAAGTTAGTTCTTTATATCAGCCACAACTTTAAAAGTATTACGTCTTAATGTCAACTTTCAACTTAAATAATAGTTTGTTTTTTGATGTAAGCCTACAGTTTCAAAAATTCATAGTATTTGATACAAAGTACA